AGGCAACATTAAATCAAACTGTGCTGCACAATTATTGGCCAACTGCTAATATTCCTTTTTTGGGCAACGTGATCAAGACAGTAGTGGTGATGCAACTACAGATAATCTTGGAAGAGACCAGGAATAGTTTCAGGGTTGAATCAGCAATGGTTGCCCCTTTGGTTGACCTTCAGCATGAAGGGACAGTGGGTGTGAGATCCTGTTACTGTTGCTCAACTTCTCAGTATATTCAGTATCATCTGCCATGGTCTCCTCCTGGGCCTGTTCTGTGGGATGGAAATTGGTGGCACTACACTTCAGTGGTTTCATTTCTACCTGTCGGACCATTCACAGAGCATGGATTTGGGCAAATGTCATCCCTCTGGAATTTGCACTGTGCAGTCCCTCAGGTACCATCTTGTCCCAATGCTTTGGAAGTGGTCATTAGCTTCCTCTAATGGAGCAAGGTGGCACCAGGAAGCTGATGGCACACAGTTCTGCTTCTCTGTAACATCTGAAACAAGATGGTGTGAGTTCTCAACCACTGCTTGGAGTCAATGAAGGGCTGGAGGAAGGCCAATAAACTGAGGCTGAATCCTGGTGAGCCAGAAGGCTGGTAGATGAGCAGTTCCCACGTTCAGGAAATTGTCAGGTTTCCTGTTCTTGATGGGGTTACACTCTCCCTGAAGGAACAGGTATCTACCTTGGAAGTACCCTTAGATACATCCCTGTTACTGGAGGCACAGGTGTCCTCAGTGGTTAAGAGTTCTTTTTCCCAGCTTTGGCTTTGGCCAATCCTGGACAGGGGTAGATTGTCCATAGTGGTGCCGGCTTTGGTAACCTCTAGACTGGACTATTGCAATATGCTCTAAGTGGGGCTACCTTTAAGGTTGGTTGTGAAATTGAGGCTGGTTCAGAATACTGTGGTCTAGTTTTTAGCCAGAGCAGCTCATCGTCAGCATATTACACCAGTGCTGATAGCTCTACACTGACTGCCAGTACATTACCAAGCTAAGTTCAAGGTTTTGCTGTTAACGTATAAGTCCTAAGCCACCTAGGACCAGATTAACCTGAAGGACCACCTTGTCCCTTATATACTGTCCAGTTCACTGTGATAATCTGGAGAAACCCTCCTAACTGTCCCACGGTTACAGTATCTCATATACATTTTGTTTCTATGCAAACCAAAGTTTTTAGCATAGTGGTTCCAGTAATTTGGAATACCGCACCTACAATTCTGATATTTCACCACTTTTTGAAAACAAATGTTTTGTCAAGTATTTTTAGATGATGAATTTGGTTATTTCCCCTCACACACACACACATACCCTGTATTTTATTATTTTATCATTTTAATTCTTTTATTATGCACCGCCTTGATATATTATTTTTATCGGGGAAAGGCTTATAAATATTCTTATGAATAAAGAAATAATTTGAAGACTTTTGACAAGAGAACATATGCTTCCTGTGCAGGGCGAGACAACAATACTTCGGAAAGTGTGTTTCAGCTTGAAATAATTTCGTAACAAATTGTACATCAGACTTCTCCTCCCCCCCCCCCCACTCCCACTCCCAGTATGCTGCCGGGGTGGGGTTATGCCTTGCTTATTTCAAAGGGGTGGGGGACAAGAATGAAACAGGGTGAGTGTAGCCATTACTGCTTTGATTGCTACTGGCTCATTAGCATTGACCACGCTCCCTCAGATTAGCAGTAATTAAACTGTGAAATCAGACCGATTGCCTTAAGCTGAGACACCATACCAGGCTGTCAAGAGAAATCACAGGGGATAAATCAAGGGCCCTCTGCAACGCGTATCACCCTTGGCATGGGTGAGCTTGCGAGAGGCGGAATAATGAGGACATTCAGGCTTTTTTTGTATTGGGTGGACTCTTGGCAGACAAGCTTTGGAAGCGTTGTCATGACGATGACAAGAGCAAGGATAAACTCTTACTCCCACTAGCTCTGGTTAATGAAGATGATAATGAAAAATTATGCCAACATAACTGCAATTTTTTTTTCCCATCCCGACTGGCACTTGTAACCTTACGCCTAATGACACCACACAATGGTGACAGTAATTGTGCATTGATAAATGGGGCAAAGATGCTGGAGAAATGGCTGGCTCCAAGATATACAAGTTTAGTTAGCTGCATAATTTCTTCCAATGAGGGTTTGCTTTGTTCTTTGAACTCTCACTAGGTGGCTTTGGCCTGCGCATGCCAAAAAAACATCTCTAATCACTTTGTATTGTTTACTGAAGAAAGTCTGGCAATTAAGCCAAACGCTTCCTGTGTTCTTCCCCCCACCCCACCCTTGTAAGCAGAACAAACCCAATCAAGAGAAGTAATAAAACAACAATACTTTTTTACATGCTGAATTGGAGGAGCACTACGGAAGTCTGTGGGATTACTTCCAAGTAAGTGGCTTCAGACCTATGGCTTCTGAGCTTTGACTCCATGTGGTTTCTCTACTGCAGCATGAACCACCAAGCATATGAATCTGATGAGGCCTTATCTCAAAACACTTGGGGCTTTGATAACTTTGTTGTTTAGTCATGTCCGACTCTTCGTGACCCCATGGACCAGAGCATGCCAGGCACTTCTGTCTTCCACTGCCTCCCGCAGTTTGGTCAAACTTTGATAACTGCTAGAGTGCAATTATTTAAGGCGGTTTTTCTTAACTTCAGTTAGGTAAAAAAGGATGCATAGTTTGGGGCTTTCAGACAACACAAAGTCTCATTCAATAATATCAGCATTGGGGTGCTTTAGGGTCAATCTGTGTGCCTTCAAATAGACCAATCAGATGTGAATTCTGCAATCCATTCTATACTAAACCACACATGCACGTCACAAGGCAACCATGCAAAGCTGGAAAACTTGCTAACATTGTCTTATCCTCAAACACCTGTTCCAACCTTTCAGCACTTGGCCTTCCCATTTTATTTTTTAAAAATTAAGTAGTAAGTGTGCACTTGCTTCTTTCTTTCTGCACGCAGCCGCCATGTTTCCCCTCTTCTGTTGTAAGAGAATAAGGTTTTCTAAGCTGAGAATACAGAATAATCTATACCTGGGGGAATGGGCTGTATTCCTCAGAGAGGGCTTTCATTCCATTTTATAAATCTCTTTTATATTAGGAGTGTTTTTAATATATATAAATTTGAAGGCTATGCATTCCTTTTCTCCTATAAAAGCAGGAAGAGTTGTAAATAGTAGCATGGATATTCACTTCAAAGCAAGTCTGCTTTCTGCTCAGCAAGTCTGCCTCCCAGGTAGCAGAGCTATTTATCCCCCTGCATTCATTGCATGCAGATAGCCTACTGCTCTGCGGGCACACAAAATGCAGGAATACTGCACTAGGTGGAAATGCAGTTGTGAGAAGGCCTTTGGAGAAAGAGCAGGGTTATGTATACGAAAGCTTTCTCACAAAAGGTGTACAAAACACAAGGTGCCAACATTTACGGACCTTGCAAATTGTTCTGGAAGATTTCCATACTGGAAGAAGATGCTAGCTCTTTTCATTTGAACATATCAAGGTGTTTTTCCCTTGCAAGTTTAATGCATATGGACAAATGTGCTATGCTCAAGTATGCACAAGGTTTATGTATGCATGCTTTGGAATATGTTGAGTCACAGATCATGAGTTTTCAGGTATACGTGTACTGATTCCATGCAAGCATGACGATGACTGTGTGGGTGTCAGAGGCAGGACTAACAGACCCAACCCTAGTTAGCCTCCTCCATGTATTCAGTTGAACACCTGAACAGGGTTACTGTGACATCTGAAAATATATTTCATTCTGGCCTCATGTACTGATATCAAACTGAGAACGCCACTGATGTCAGGAGATGGGACAGTTACAAATAGAAGGGGGTCTTCCCATTTCTATTGCCCACACACTTAATCCACTGGGCTTCCCACTGATGTAATTATTATGTTCTTTCAGCCAACAAATGAGGTAAACACAATAAAGAAAACCAAATGGTTTCATCTATGGAGCAGATCCCAGCACTGCCAAAATCCATCTTGAGAGCATTGTAGCTATGAAGGCACACTACTCTGCTGCAAAGAATAGCCTTATTGAGGGTGAGAGTGTGCTCTATTATAGTAAGCTCTTTCTGGATTAGATAAACAAATGCAAATGAATCTTTTGATGCAAATGAATGGTTTAAAGGAGCCAATGATGTTTTATTTACTGCAAAAACAAACTAAGAGAATAGCTCTTTTAATAGCTTGAGAATGGTTTTTCTGCCTCGTAATCTTCTGCGGTCCCCTAATGCCTTCACCCCATCAAAGCCTTGGCACCTCAATCCCTAAACACATATTTACTTGAAAGAAAGTCTCATTGAGTTCAGTGGGGGAGAAAACATATAAATAAATATGCTTAGGAGCATAATTTGGCACCCTGCTCCCAGGACTCTCCGTTTAGCTATGGTGGTGTGAATCGTGGTTTGTGCTGCTATGCTATCCCAGGAAAATAGGACAGAACTTAGGATGGAACATGATAAAATTGGACCTTGAACACCTAGGGCTTGGATGATCAACAGGAATGTGGCACATGCCCTGGTTTTTTCCAGTCTCTTCCCTCTTCTCCATGTTACATTGGGCTCATAAAGCACCAGTTCTTCCCTAGCAAAAACCTAGAGGAAAACTTCTCATTTCCTGACAGGGAGCGGCATCTTCCAGTTTCTTATTTGATTGGATTTTTACAGTGACGTTTTGACCAAAAACAGGCCTCAAGCTTCTTCACTGGGTAGGTGGTGGCGGAGACTCTTTTGAGTTAAAAGAATCAAAGTGGATGACGGTATCACAATCTGTTGATGTAGTCTGGGTCTGAGAAGCTGAGCCGTGGAGACAGACAGACAGACAGAGTCAGTAGAGGCTGGTTTATTATGGTGCATGGGGCAGCTGCCTGCTTTCTTATGTACAACCAGTTCAGGAGTGGCCCAGGCTGTCTGCTTCCCCTACCTAAGTCTCAGTGTTGCCCTTGTGGAACGCAGCTGGGAGGAGGGTGGGGACAACTCAGGATAGCTCAGTCGGTAGAGCATGAGACTCTTAATCTCAGGGTCATGGGATTGAGCCCAACGTTGGGCAAAAGATTCCAGCATTGCAGGAGGTTGGAGTAGATGACTGGTCCCTTCCAATTCTACAGTTCTACGATATGAGTAGAATTAGGTGGCTCCATCCGTCACTGGCTCTGCTTACTGCTGGGCTCTCTGACTTCCTCACTATCAGTGTTATTGAGCACCAACCACCACGGCATAGCAACCTGACTGCATAAATGTGGGGGTTTGGGTCATGCCAATATCTACAAGTTCTGTAATGGCAAGAAAGGGAGACAAAGAAAGCCTGTCTCGTCTGTCAGCTGAAATGTAATAGTGTCATGAATCATGCTGCAGGAGAGTGCTGGTCCATGTGTCCTCATAGGTTTATGTAAACAGAGGCCTCTTCATTCGCTTGAGGGTTGGGGAACGCTCTTGTGTAGGGAGCCTTCTTTGACAGCAAACAGCGTCAGCAGCCCCCGATTTCTGAGACTGCATCAGAACCCCTTCAAGCCCACTAGAGCTTCTTTTTTTATGAGGGCAAATCCCTAATATAGATTTTGTTGTTGTTCAACTGCTGTTTCTTTAAGGGAGGGAAAACCGCTTACCTGGAGGTGTATCTGATATCCAAGGGACTCATCTCGCCTTAGTGGTATTTGTCTTTCCTGTTCTTGAAAGACAATATTAAGACACTAGTGTTTGTGATTCATGGCTGCAATTCTCCTTTTATTGCTCAAGTCCAGCAGTGAGTAAAAGCCAGAGAAGGACACACTGCCCATTATCCTGTACTAGGGTATACTTAGCCAAGACTCTTCTGTTCCCAAGAGTCAGCCTATTGGAAAAAGGAGAGAGTAGTTTGTATAAAGATGTGTAAAAGTAAAAGTTGCTCCTCCATCAAGCTTGTGATGCCCGTTGTCTAACACTCCGTGATAGATATTTTATAGACTCCCTGTAGGCTTTCTGTAGCTTTTGTGCACTACCTTATGGTTATTGTTTGGGGGCACCTGACCAGATAAAAGCTATAAAAAAGGGTTCTGAACCAAATATGCAAACTCTCAAGCTTTGTAGAGCTGCCATATGGGCTCCTGTCCATGGTACAAAGTTGGCACATTTTCACATTTTGATTTAACAAACTCTGCTAGCCGTATTTGTTTACCTTGGGTTAATTCCGACAAACTTTTGGTGCTGGGAGGAAGAATTTTAAAGTGATATATATTGGGAAATTTTATGATAAAACTGTGGTGGGAGGGATGCAATTCTATGCATCACTGCTCAGAAATCAGTCCCATTGTGTTCCATGCAACTTGCTCTCAGTTAGTCCTATGTTCACGGAGACAGCAATCCTAACTCACTTACTTGCTCAAAATTATGTTTAAATCAGGTTCAGTGTGAAGAACTTGCTAATTGGGTGCAGAATGAGCTGTTCTCAGACTTTCTATTCCTTCCCCCACCTACCTCGTGTCTGGTTTGCCATCTTGCCAGCTCACTGGCCTTTTTGCTTCCTAGTCAACCATTTTCATAGCCAGTATCTGCATGCCTCTGGATCACTGACGTTGTATAATCCCTCCTAAAAAGCTGGACAAAACAAATTTCCTCCCTGCTTTCTCCACGATAGAGGAAAAGAGACAATTGCAGCATTCCACTACAGTGAGTGCCCTTATCTTTGCTATGGCTTACAGCAAAAAGAATGAAATTGCTGCTGCTGCTTCTACTGCTGCAGTGGTGATCCAAAAAGGAATTAAGTGTCTTAGATATTGTTTATAGTTTGATAAGTCTCTAAGGTTAAGCATAATGTTGCTTAGAATGTAATGTAAATTGTTTCATGATAACAGGTAACTAACTTGCATGCTGTTTTAAATTGCCTTAGGCCTCTCTTGTTACTACGGATCTAGTAAACTAATTAAAGGCAATCCTCATTTTGCATGGGGGTTACATTCTGGACCCCCGCACACATCAGCAGGGCCCACGTAAAGAACGCCACCATGTTCTGCTCCTGCCCCTTTTGGTGACATTTTAGTGACAATTTAGTGACATTTTCAGGTCACTTCTGGGTTCAGTGTTTTTCGCAACATGTGCATTCGCACGTCAATAGGGAGTTCCCTTCATTTCAATACTTGACCATTATTAGGCCTGTTAGTGATGGGATAAGAATTTAGCAGGATTTGTGCTAAACTGGAGGCTTTCCACATAGAAAGGTGCATTGCACATTTTTGCCTACCTGGATCCTTACCCCTTTTCTCTCTCACACACTCAGTAATTGGATGAATCAAATATTTTGCCTGTAGAGTGCATGAAGTTCCTTGAAGCTTTGATCCAGGTCTCTATACAGTGATGAGAGGAAGGGCTTCCATTACATAGATCTCTAATCTGTTTTACCTTTATAGCCACCCAGTTTCAAAAAGAAATTTACAAAAGCCAAAGAAAACACATCAAACATGTCATCAAAACATTACTACAGGGTGGGGAAATGCAGGAAGAGAGCCAAAGCTCTGAAGTTGAGAGAGAGGAAAGAGAAAGAGAGAAATCAGTGATGAGGAGAGAAAGCTGAGACAAAGGATCAAAAGATGGTGGAGCCCCAGAAAAAAAAGGTTGCTGGAAGTGCAGGTAACGAGACATCTTAGTAAGCTTCTAATGCAAGAAGCTGCGGGGAGGGGGAGCACTTTGCTGATATTTGAAATTTTGGCTCAGTTTGATAAATGAGTGTCTTAGGTGAGAAGGAAATCTCACCAGATGAACTCTCACCAAGAAACTGAAAGCCAGGCTTAATTGAATGGTGAAATTTGGGCAAAGAATAGAAGTCATTTGCCCTGTCGGTCTGATTTTTGTTCTTTGCAGCCAGTAGTCTGTCGGTTTACATTAGGATTCTGTGGCCTTAAAAAAAAAAAAAAACAGTGCGAAGAGTGTAGTTGGCACATTTCTGTTTTGTTTGCATTGAAAGAATTGGACAAATCCACCTCTATATATTTTGAATGAATTATAGTAGTTCATTCCCTCCTCTCCAGAAGCCCTTTACACTTCTTTTTTGATGGAAAAGCATCCAGAGACTAGAACTGGGCATATCTGGCTTCTTGAAATAATCCACTCTATTTTGGGGCAGGGAAATTGATGTTTGGGCAGGGGCAGCATTTCTCAAAATTATGATGAGGGCGATGAATATTCAGTGGGAAAACGTGTTCTTTTGTCTGGCGGGTGGTAGAGGGTGGGTGAAGGATCAGCAAAAGAAAAATGTCAGAAATTTTAAATTTTATTATGAGACATTTCAGCTTAGCTCTCCCTGAGACCACACCTTTTGCTCTCCTGCCACCAGCCCCTCAAGAGGATCCATCTCACTGAAGAAAAGTTTTTAGGCAGCAGTGATTTCTGGGTACTGGAATATTTTCCGATTTAAAAATATGTAAGATTGTTCCCCTCAAGTAGACTGAAATGCTCACTAGTGAAAATGAGTGATCTTTTTATAGCTCGTTATTGGGTGGATGGCAATTAACCACTCAGGAGGGCTGCCAGTTCCTCCGTGAACACAGTCAGCCACTTCATGCTTTAAAGTTAAATTATATTTGACATTTAATTTAAACTCATACTGCCTTCATTCAAAATAAACCCTACTGCATTAGTAGTAGAAAAGCAAAAAAAAAAGGGGGGGAGGGGGATATTGTCTGCCTCCTGTTCCAATTCACTAAAACGTATCCTCATTTCCCGTGCTTAGTTTTTCAAACTAATTATGTATGACTCTGATTGATTGCTGCCAAGCTATTAAGCATATGACTAAAAAAGCAACAAAATTTTCTTGGGTGGGTGGGTGTATCAGCACATTGTGCAAAACTTCAATTTCGCTCCATCTATTTATTATTTATTTTATCTGTTAAAATGTTTATTGATATTACGTTGTGGCAATATGTAGCACAAACCGTTATGCAGCAAAACATCCTTGCTTCTCGTGCAAAGAACGAGTGAAATATAAAAAGAGAAGAGAACAAGAAAATAGCATGTGAAGACGGCAGAGGGACGGCATATTAAGTCGGACCATTGTTGTGCTTAGCTCTCTACTGTCTACACTGACTGCCAGTGACTCTCTTAGGGGTTTCTCCCAGTCCTACCTGGGTGTGCCAGGGATTGAACCTGCGATTTTCTGCATGCAAAGCTGATGTTTCACCACTGAACTGCAGTCCTTCCCTAGATTATACTGATCGCACATGGTATGGCCAAACCACACCTGGCTTTCATATTATACCATGTTGGGTGTTCTTAAACCAGGTGCTTGTCAGATTTCTATGTATCTGCATTCAAATCCAATCCTACAAGTGTTGTGCCTGCTCCCTTTCCTAGCATTTTTCTGCTCTTTCTCGAATTGAAGTGGGCACGTGATCCCCTGATCCTGCTTAAGGAGAATGCAGCTACAGTAAAATGTAGAAGGCAGAGCACAGGGAGCTTTCATATGGACCTATCCTTCAAGAAGCAATAACACCTTGCTTACATTCTGGATAATACAGGGTCAATTCCTGTTCCCAGTTGGTCCTTCAGTTGCCAACCAACAGGCAAGAAGGGTATATGGTGGCTGACCACTTTGAAAGCTGAGGATGGGGCTTGGCTTTGTTGTTGTTTAGTCGTTTAGTCGTGTCCGACTCTTCGTGACCCCATGGACCAGAGCACGCCAGGCACTCCTGTCTTCCACTGCCTCCCTCAGTTTGGTCAAACTCATGCTGGTAGCTTCGAGAACACTATCCAACCATCTTGTCCTCTGTCGTCCCCTTCTCCTTGTGCCCTCCATCTTTCCCAACATCAGGGTCTTTTCCAGGGAGTCTTCTCTTCTCTTGAGGTGGCCAAAGTATTGGAGCCTCAGCTTCAGGATCTGTCCTTCCAGTGAGCACTCAGGGCTGATTTCCTTAAGAATGGAGAGGTTTGATCTTCTTGCAGTCCATGGGACTCTCAAGAGTTTCCTTCAGCCAGCCTGTAAAACTAGGACTGAGTTGCCAGCCAAGTCTTATGGTAACTTTCTGCGTCTTCATTTATGAATTCACTTGTTGGATTTCTCTTTCTTTCTTTCTTTCTTTCTTT